CGAAGCAAATTCTTCGAGAATGGTCAAGCAGACCGGAAAACGGATATGGTCTGTCAAATATTTGGAACTACTCGTCATGAGAACAAAACAATTATAACACGCAATATTGTACACTATTTTGTTCTAATTCAATTGAACTGCAATTAAAACGATACGTTTCGAACGGGTCGTTTTAACGTTAAAAGAATCGAAGTAAACCCTATAACTAAGGTGGATTTATAAAAAATACTCATTTTCGTGAGACGAAATTCATGTTTTAAAGCTACCCTTTACATGGGTTAAAAAAATAATCTATAAACACCCTCCAAGTCTCAAGGAATATATTGATATAACTTTAATTGAAAATGGTCCAGCAGTTTTTGAGTTTATTAAGAGGACACTACACCTGCACATCATGTGTTGTCTCCGGCTTACATATTCAAAACACATCAAAAACTGTTTTGAGAGAGTAAGAACCACTCTGGCAGTAGTCCAAGTTAAGTAACCAAATTTTTACACTATAAAGAGAAGAACACTTACTGTGTAACGATATTTTTATTTTTTTGATATCACAAACATGAAAAAAGTTCTTATTGTTTAAAAATTCATTATTTTTGAGTTTTGAAACTTGAATTACTTTTTTATTTTTGTTCTGATATCCAAAAAATAAAATCAACCCAATAATAATTGTTCTCCTCTTTATAGTGTGAATATTTGCTTGCACCTCAGACTGAGCTGTGGTTCTTCCCCTCTCAAAACAGTTTTTGTTTGTATGTTTTACATTTGTAAAACCGAGACAATACATGAGGGTGTAGCGTCCTCTTAATTACAAACAGCTAGATAGATAGACAGACAGATAGATAGATGTATATTTTTATATCATATATTAATTAATTAATTATAAATCCACCATGAACATGTTATGGTATTTATTGATATAAAAACGCACACTATAGCTAATATCACTTATCCGCCTTTCGATATCGACATATTACATATTTATATATTATTAAGACTTTAGCGTGTACTATCCATGTTTAATTATCTACAAGGTAAAGGGGCTCTTAGTATTTATGGCTTATGCACATCAGAAATGATGAACTTTTTTACTGCACTAAAGTCCGAAAGGCTTTGACAAAGAAACGAGCACATCGGATTGTTCAAATACGATTAGAACCTCAAATAAAAAAAGGTGGGCAAGTGGGTGTCGCTCTGCTGTACAGTAGGTTACAAGTGGGTCACTGTATAATGGATGGTATTAAATTTGAATTCAATGATATAATATCATTGTATAAGAAAAACGATTCTGAGCGGTGACGGTATGTCAGTCTATGTATAAGACATATTATATACATATCTATGCAGGGTTGGGCAGTATCAAAGATACATGTATCAAAGATACGTATCAAAGATACAATTGTATCTTGTATCTTGTATCATGATACATAATTTTACAGTATCAAGTATCATGTATCTTGATACATTTTATACTAGTATCATGTATCTTTTTTTGCCAAAAGATACAAGATACTATTATTGTAGAATAAGTTAGTAATAAGTCCATAGACCATAACCAATTTTATTATACACATAAAGCAACTATATATAAGTATAAATTAAGATGTAATTGTTATGCACTTTCTTAATTTTGGTGTATTTATATTATAAATGTGATGTATTAGTTATAAATGTATAATGTGTACCTATTGACTTATTATATTATAATGTGTACAGTGTACCTATTGACTTATTATATTATTTGATATAATTATGACTTTATAAGTATTTATAAATACTATTATTATGTAGGTATAATAATAATATTATGTATTTATTATGTATAGACGGTATAGTGAATTGTGTATAGACGTTTTACGTTTAATAATTAATAAAATTTGATTGGAAATATAAAAGTATCATGTATCTTTGATGTATCAAAGATACATGTATCTTGTATCTTGTACCTATCTTTTCTACATTCACAATGTATCTTGTATCTTGTATCTTGATACACAAAATGTATGTATCATGTATCATGTATCATGATACTTTTTTTTGAGTATCTTGCCCAACCCTGTATCTATGGTATTAAACAAAAAATTGACCTATAATAGGTACCTATGATAAATTCCAAACTAATCATATCACAATATCCATTAGATAGGTACTTATAACGCGTTATACATCAACAAAAACCGTGATACTATCATAGATATATAATAGTACACTTTAGAAGTTTCAAGTACCCACGAATAATATTATTCAATCACAACAAAATAACTAAAATAGTTATTCTAGGTTTTTTAATATGTATTTTCGTTCAAATTTGAATTTAAAATGTCTGTAAAAAATAAGTGTGTTCATATATTTTTTAGATTTTTTGGTTACAGTATGAACTATTTACGAGAACCTTTGTGTTGAATTTGCAATCCTTAGCTATAAAAACTGAACATTTTATAATTTATTAATTACAATGATTGATAATTTTCGAGATTTTGATAAATTTTGTCAAAATTTGATCTTTAAATGCTTATAAAAAAAAACTGTGCCTAAGTATTTTTAATATTTTTCAACTGCTATTGTAACAATATAATATCAGGAGCCTTGTATTAAATTTTTACACTTTTTGGCCCAACAGATAAAACTTTATTGATATTTATAGAAAAAAAAACTAAAAAAAATTGAAAGCTGTAAATGTCCATAAACAGCTCAAAAAGAGTCAAAATATTTTCAAAATTGTATGGTGTATAGAAAATGCTAATTTAAACATTGAGTGAAATTTTCATGTATCTACAGTTGTTCGTTTTTGAATTGCAACAAAATAAGGAAATCGCTACATGAGTAATCGAGTGAATATCCAATGTTGTAAAATTTTGAATTTCAAACGCTCATAAAAATTTAACTTGACTGTCCGGTAGAGATTTTTTTATTGATAAAGGTAGATAATCTTATAAGGAATCTTGTGTTTCATTTTCAAATCTTAGATTTAAAAAGAAAAATTTTTACGAATTCTTAACTCAAAATAATTTGCTAATTTTCGTGATTTTTCCATATTTTGTAAATTTTTGAACTTTAAATGCTTATAAAAAAAAATTGTGACTAAGGATTTTTAATATTTTTCATCTGCCTTTGAAACACCATATTAGGAGCCTTCTATTAAATTTTCAAGCTTTCGCAACCAACAAATAAAATTTTATTGATATTTCTAGAAAAAAAACTAAAAAAAAATGAAAAATGAAAATGTCCCTAAACAGTTCAAAATAAATCAAAATATTTTGAAAATGTTATCGTGTATAGAAAATGCAAATATAAACAACCAGTGAAAATTTCATGTATCTACGGTCATTTGTTTTAAAGTTACACCAAAAACCAAATTCGATTTTTTGGAAAATCGATTTTGCGTAAAAATTCCCGTTTTTCCTTAATTTGTATGTTGTTTTTCCCGGCGCTTGTGAAAACTACTGGAAAATATTTACTTTTGACCCCCCAAAGTACCAACTAGATTCACTTTCCTATCAGAAAAGGTACTATTGAAGAAAATCGAAGCACTTTTACTGTCCCAAAACGTGATGACAGACACAAAAAAAATATAAAAACACACATCATTGTAAAACCAATACATTCATCGCTCCGCTCAGAATCTAAAAATAAATATTGTTCTATTAAATTAATCAAATTTATAACACTTGAGTTACCTGACCTAAAACAATTATTTACTATAATATGTTATACCTAAAATTAATTGTATTTTATTTAATATAAACGAGGAAAAAGTATTCAACTTTACAAATGCGGACCTATATTATGTAATAATTCCTATAATATAAATATGTATACATAATTTGATATTATCATTATACTGAATAATAGCATAGATGCCTAGCATAGGCAATCTGATAGATCACACTCATCACAGTTCACTGCTCAACTAAAACTTAAGTCAAACAATTTTACTTTTGAGTATTAAATGCAATTTTTTCAAACTTTTGTGCAGAATTTTTATTGATTTTAGCATGATTTCAGATCATCAAAATATATCATCCTATACCTTCCTATTGTAAAATGATTTGTTGTTCAAAAGAAAATCAAACAATGAAATTATAAGTACTGACAATGTTTATTCCGTATAGAAAGTTATTAATCAAATTGAAAAAAAAATAAGTATTACATTTGAGAAAATAATTTTTTAGTTTTAATATAGTTTTTTTTTCAAACTAAATCTATATTAAATGAGTGAAATGACCGTTGGGTCCTACGGTACTTAATTGTAACGTTTTTTTGCTATACATTCTTATTCTTCCGTGACTGATTCGAGTCGGTGATTTATTGTATAGAAGTGTTCAGTCATAGGGAAAGCCAATAATAAATTAATAACTATTGCGTTTATTCTATATGGGTAGGTTGCTATCGTTAACACTGATGAGCCAACACATCTATTATTTAAGCAATATTATAAGCAATTATCATAATTTGTTACCACTTAATTTTTTCACAGCTTCACCATCGTTTTTATGTTTACATTTTAGTATAGGTACATATCATGTCACTTTGGACACTTTGATAAATATTTATTTTGAATAGGTATAATTTTGTATATTTTTTTTTTTCGTATACCATGTCCGTATTAGGTACATTATGAACATTCATTTAAGTAATTTGTAATTACACCTACAGTACTACATATTATACCTATATTTATAACAAAAGCAATTAGACACAGTCTTTTTAGCTTTTTGACCGTATAATTCTGTTACGATTAGGTAATAGGTACCTAGTTGATAGTATACCACTAATAAACCAATCATTTAATATACTATTATATTATAGCATTAACTATACACTTAGGCCATCAGCTTATAAACATTGAAATTACTACTGCAAAAGTGCGTGTGAATGTAACCTACCTATATAGTATTATAATATTATATTATTATTTTAAACGCATATATTTCAAAAACGCTTGTAATTATCAATTAACACACTCGACACAAAAGTTTAATTTTTAGTGTAAACACGCTTACCTTGGCTTCCAACATGCCCCAGCCATATCGAAATTAATACTCCAACTAGTTGTAGGCATCCTTTGGTCTTTGTAAGCATTCTATACGGTGTTGCAGTAGTAACATTCCTGTATCTACCTGGGAACAAACATAGATTTTGTAAAAATAAAAATTCTGCAACAATATAATATATTATGGTACTTAATTGAGAACCATCACACACAGCCCGGGTCGATAAAAATGTGACTTCAATCATTTTTTCATTTTTTTTTAATAAAACACATATCGGTAAATGTTTAGAAAGAAATGTTTTTATAATTATATTGTGATCTTCCACAGTATTTTTAGTAAATTAATGTTGTTAAAATATAAATTAAAATGTCATACTATATTATGCACTTTATGGTTCATTGTAATTTATAAGTTGCAAGTACAGTACCTATATATTATATAATAGTTCATTTCAAGTTTAAAAAATTGTTGTGTTCTGGAGATCATTAATTTATCTCTAATTCAATTTAATTGTAACGATTTAAAAATAAAACGTTATCAATGGTTATTACTAATAAATTCGAAATTATTTATTTATTTTACTATAGGATGAACTAATGACCCATAAGTCAAATCAATTCAACTTTGAAATCGCCTCGTGTACTCGTCAACGTCAGATTGTTAACGGTTAAATGTTCACGCAACACATTTTGCACATGTTTATATTTTATAACATTTAACCAACCCTGCAAATTAGGTCGACATTTATTAAAATGCATAAAAGTGTATAATAATCACCCAAAACTTAAATTAAATAATATTGTTACGACACAATTATCGTTAAAAAATATTGTAGCACGTTTTCGTCGTTAACCACAATAACGGACATCATAATTATTTAAGACTACCTAGTGCCTACCTATAACTGTACTCATGCACATTTATTATAACGTGGTATCTTATGATGATAATTATTTCTGTCACACTACCACAGTACCTACCTACCACACATCGTGATTCTTATTTTGCGGTACATACAACTGAATTCATAAAATAAAAACCAACATAATGATAGAGGATGAGTATGGCACTATTATACAAGTAGCAATTTAGCTGTGGTGTCTTCAGAGAGAATTGAGTGAAATGAATGATGACCGGCAGTGGTGACAGTATATAACAACTTTTACATATTTTAAATTTAAATTAATTTGATATAATATTTAATATATTGTTATAGTTATATTTTATTGTTTTCGTATTTTAAAATAATTGTTTTTACACGTTTAGTATGAATTGTAAAGTTAGATTATAATCCATGTTCCATACTTTTATCTGTATTTTTTAGGATTACGTAAGATTACCTATAATTTACAGAAATCTCCGGCTTAAGATAGTAAAGACATATAAATGTCAAAATTGAATTACAGTGTATGAAATATTATTATCGAACAAATATTGAACTTAAAGTTATCCGTTTAAAATCTATATTATATTGGTTGATATAAAAAAATAAGCGTGTCACAGATTTAATTCAAAAACAAATTTTATTAATATTAAACGGAATGGCTTTAAATTGTGTATATTCATATTAACACAAATAGGGAAACTTCAGTCTCCCCAAATGAAGGCCTTATCAAGGAAGTACTAGGTAAATATTATTTTTCTACAACTTTGAAATAGAAAAATCAAATTAGTTAAAATTATTTTTTTGTTTTAAGTACAGTACTTCTGATAGGGATATAAATATAAGAATAATATAAGAATTGTTATTTGTTACTTTTTCCGTAGAAAATGTGATGAGAGAATAATATAACCAGACAGTGTAATATCTAACATAAGATTATTGAGTGTTTGTCAGAGCTGAGTATTTTCCTCTATTTGCTTAAATAGATAGACATAAAATATAATATGTTAATAGATATGTATCTATATTGTATAAATAAATCGTATTTGTGTGTCGGTAACTGTAGTTGGGGGGTGTGAGGGGCTTCGCCCCACGTAATGTGTGATCAATATTCAATATTATTGGGAACTTGAGCCACCCTCCCCCCCTAGAATTTGGCCAATTTGCGTCTACTGATGTACATATTATATATTACTAATAGTCATGAAAAACGTATATATTTTTTTTTAATGTTTAACATAATATTTGAAATTAGGCCAATTTATTTTACTCTTTGCAAAGAATCGAGAACAATTAAATGCATCGATTGTCATGACGATGACTCGTGGAACAAATCATTTCCTGTACCTATCCTAGGTATAAACATTAAGAATTAGATCATGGTTGCTTATTTATAAATAATATATTTAATACAAATAACATTAACAGACAATAATAGCTAAAATACCTTATTGAGAATTGATTTAGAGGATATTGTGACTTACTGGTTTCATTTAGATAATGGACAATTACGAAAACATATTATAGGTAGGTAGATATATTTTTTGTCTTTACGTACCTATATTGACTGGATTAAATGTACTAAACAGCTATTGTAAACTACTTTTATATATTTAAAAATAGGACGAACCCAATTACATAATATATTTAGCCCAATTGCAATATCCCAAACAAGGTTTTTAAATTAATACATCAAACCTATATATTGGATTACATAGGAACCTCCTGAAAATAAATTGTAAGTTCTTTTAAAAATATCACTGAAAATTCAAATGCATATTATGCGGGATGATTATATAAACAGTAAATATCTATGACAGACAAACATCCAGCCAACTCCTGCTTCAGTCTCCGAAGAATGAGTCATATCCGAAACTTGTAAAAATGGGAAATTGTTCTCTTTTCATACAAAGCAATTCAAATATGTACTATATAATTGTTCCCTGACCTTCAAACAAAAATTGTATCAAATACAATCAAAAAATATTATTCATATATTTTAATAAAATGTGAGTATGATTGTAAGCTATTATTATTATTAATATGTATGCTATTTTTTTGGTAAATCACGGTTTTTAGGGACATTTAAAATGCCTATAAAGAAGTTCAGGCAGTATAGCTCTATACGCATGCACGTCACAGATGGGTAAAGGGAGGTTTCTACCCTGAAAATATTTCCACGGTAGCAATATTATCGATTTACTACCTTAAAATTAAAAAAAATATTTTTATTTAAAAAAAAAAAATAAGAAGTTGAATAAAACGGATTTGAACACAACGACAACTGATCATGAGGTTTACACGATTCATGTCCATGTTTCATAATGGTAAACAAAACTATGTCTGCAAATGTTTCTTCACGAAAAAAGCTATCTAAATTCAAACCCAAGCCTCGGAGGTTCGTTTAAAAGTTCCTGACCTTTGATAAAACTAAAAATTGATTTGATCAACATTTTATAACATTTTCCTGATGTAAGACCCAATGAAAATTCTGGTTATTCGGTTGTAAAATACTAAGTACATAGAAAGTGAATTTACTCAAGGTTTATTTAAAAAAAAAAATGTATTACCCAAAAATAACTTTTCTATGGTGACGCCCATGGGCCCTACTTGCACATTAGAAATTGAACACAGATTGTACATTATTTTTACTTGTCGAACGGTAATTTATCAAATTCTATGGCAGATTTTGAATTACACACGTAAGACAACGGCAACACTACCTTATAATATAGTCACGGACATTTGTTGGTTAAACCGAGCAAAATCTGTAGAAACGTCTTTCGAATTCAATGATAAAAATATAATATAATAGTATTATGCTTTCAAATTTTAAACGCTTGCCTCAAAGCGTAGGCCCACCCAACTCGAGTTATCTATTATTTAGTTTTAAACGCAAAATTATATATTATATTATTATGATGGACCATCATCATACAAATCTACAGTTATAAGTCAATTGAGATTCAAAAATCTCCCGATGGGTATACAAACATTACAAACTATATGTAGCTATAATGTTTATTTTGTTAATTATATATTGTATGATTATACACACACTTCAAATTATTTGTAAGCACTTAAAGGAGCACACAACACAAATAAAAATATTCTTTAAATTTTTTTTAAATGTTAAATTATTGTAGTTATGGTCATATGAAATGATTTTGTGAAGATACGATGTAAAAAAAAAATATTACTTTAAGAGATATTAAGAGATGTAGAATAGCCGCGTGACGTCACTGGGCCGGAGTCATCGTAATTGCCTATCTTATACGTGTAAAAGTTCCTTGCTTCACACAACGATTTATCAACCTAAACATTTTCTTTTGAAAATTTAATTGACGTATAAATGTGTGGTTTTATGTGTTTAAGACGATGCAAGAATCAGAATTTCAATATGACGTTTAGTTTTTTAAGTATTAAAAATCTTAAAACAGACATTTTTGTTAAACGGCACGTCATGGCGAGCAGCGCGCGGCGGTCGGCGGACCCGTTGTTCGAACGCCACGCACCGCTTGCCATGACGTGCCGTTTAACAAAAATGTCTGTTTTAAGATTTTTAATATTTAAAAAACTAAACATCGTATTGCAATTCTGATACTTGCATCGTCTTAAACACATAAAACCACATATTTACATGTAAATTAAATTGCAAAAATAAAATGTTTAGGTTGATAAATCGTTGTGTGAAGAGAGGAACTTTTACACGTATAAGATAGGCGATTACGATGACTGAGGCCCAGTGACGTCACACGTCTTTTTTCAATTGCTCATAACTTATTGAATAATGTGAGTAGAAACGTAAAACCTATACCATTATCCTTAGAATTGAACATTCTTTCAAATAAAAAAAACTTATTTTTTGTGTTGTGTGCTCCTTTAACATATTATTAATTTAATCCAACACGACTTTATCGAATAAATTATATATATTCGTAAGTGCAGTACATCCTTGATGCCCGTGTGACAAATTTTGTAAAATCAAAATGTAATATTATGTGAAATATAATGTCGCTATATGATTCACTAAGAAAGTCTCTTTTATACTTTAATAATGTATTAATTCAAAATCTGATTTTTGTATTTTAATTACACTTTAAGACCAATTTTTCAAATACTTTCATTATTTAAAATACTAGTTATGTTTCACCAATTATGGAGAATCTTATGACAATACAAACTTTTCTTTTTAAAAGAGAACA